TTATGTTGGGTTCTTTGTTTGAAATGACTGTGTTCTTAATAGATATGCTATGGTTTTTTGAGTTGCAATGGTGAAAAACATGGGACGGTTTTTTATTGTGTTCTGTCAACCTGGTTTCCAATTTTCTTCCTGCTTCTCCTATGTACATTTGCTGTTATGTTAAAGTTATATTAAAGTTTTTCTTCATTACCCATTCAAGCCGTCTCCAGCCATTATTAGTCTCAAAGTGGGTTCCTCGTCATCTAATTTACTAGATATATGTTTGTCTGGTATATATAAGACGCTCACAACGTGACGGGACAATGTATGTAGGTAGTGAGTAATTGAACTGCAGTCAGAAAGTATTGTTGAAGTTAACGTTCGTTGTTAAAACGTTTGTTATAGAGCGACTGTTGAAAATAAGTGTATCGGTAAAGTTATATTCAGAAAGAATAAACCAGTTTTATTAAGTAAGGACTTGTGTCGCTAAAGTTTCGTCGGAACGAAGTTACGGAAAATTAATTAACAAACGGAGACGTAACAATATGTTAATAAGGTTTAGAAATTCTATAGAGTCTTTTACTGTATAATGTATATTCTGAGACGTTCGTCATGGGTTTTAAGATGTTAGAAAGACATACTTCACCACAGAAAAGTTCAAATCACAAAGTTTAATCCGTTAAATAACGCACAAAACACAAACTAATGGAAAAACACTAATATACAAACACTCTCCATAGGGCTTAAAAACTATGAACCATTTTTTGTTAGAAACGTCCACACTTAGAGAAGTTTGAAGAATGTTCGGAAATAAGCTTATACAATCTAACTCTAATTCTGGATTTTTTGACACAAGCTCCCCCTTCTCGCGATACACATTGGCTAGCTGTGAAGGTTAAACAAGCATTTCTTCGAGAAGTCACCAGACTTTTGCGTTATTCCGTTTGTATTTCATTCGGTTGTTAACGTTTCTCTCTAAAAAGAGGAAAAAAAAAAAGTTACTGTAAAAAGACAAAACAGTTGAAATTTTTCTGGGAGATTTTTGCACAGAGGAAACTCCCCCCTGTACACTCCCTGAAATCAACACTGATGGTAGGTAAATGCAATGTAATGATATTAAACAAACTAAATATATATTTGTATGATGGAAACGAAGATCAGCTATTTCTGCTCTTGAGTTGCTTAACTACAACACATAAAGATGCGGGATAACCTCCAACATTCCATTTTTCTTCAAGAATTAAGTGTGTCTCTAGACAAAATGAAGAGGTAGTATGATGTAGGTTCTGATTAATTTGGGTTTCGGCATAATTATGTATATGGTTAAATTACCTTCAAAGCCGAACTAAATGAATAATACAAGGAATCTGCAAAATATGTGGATACTGTTACGTCTCCGTTTGTTAAATGATTTTCCGTAACTTCGTTCAGACGAAACTTAAGCGACACAAGTTCTT